AGGTACAATGTTCGTGATGGTAAACACTGGTATCATGAACAGCATGAGGAGGATCAGGATCTGACAACATTGGAGTTTCACCACCCTAGTGATATGAAAAACACTAGTGAAAGTATATTTCACGACTACTGATGCATATCACCGCGAATATCACGCCACTTCACGTAAAAACGGGTAGTCGTGAAACTCCATTGATACGAAAAAAGGTATATCCTCTTGACATTTAGATTCGGAGAATCCTGATCCACATGATAGATCCTCTAACACTTTATATAACTAATTTGAAAACCTCTAAAAAAGACTAAGGTGACCCTCCTAATAGAATCGATCTAGCGAGTCATAGTGAGTGGGTGAAATGATAATGAGTTTAATGCTCTACATAGGAGTAAGCATATCTACTGTTTGCAAATGAACATGTCCATAGAACCACACGAGAGTAAGACAACTGAGCAGTCTATGCTAAATTGGTAGGGTGATAACAACAAGGGCGAGGCTACGATGAGCTTTTGTGTTGTCTTCTCGGTCAGCTTCTTTCCAACTCGCGACTCCGGCTCGACAATTTCCTCATCTACACCGCTCATCAAGTCAAGATCATCGTCCAGGAAATCTTCGGATATCTAAGGTTGACCAATAAAGATTCAAAACAGGCCCAAATTGAGCCCACTTCCGATTGGTCGTCCGAGGTGAAACTTTCTCCCTCCTCTTCCTCCTCTTCCTCCTCTTCTTCCTCCACATATTCTAAAGCGAGCTCTTCCTGTTTTTGTCTATTCTTCACACGTGCTTCTCGTTGCTGAGCATCCACGAAGGCCTTGTACCTAATACGGAGGTTCATCAACTTTCTCAGTTTTAATGACTTCGTTACATCTTCGCAATACGAATGAGACGGATAAGGCGGATGATCCGAACGATTCTGCCGGCCCGAGTGCCCGCTCTGGACATTCGGCCGGCCCTCGCGGCATCACCTCAACGTATGGGCATACAGGAGTGTCACTAAATTCATCTTTACCTTGTCCGGCGGTTCCCGAGTCGTCACCGAAGAGATCCTCAGCTACGTAGGTGAGCTAAACGTGATACGAAAAGCACTAGTGAAAAAATTATTCCACGACTACTGCATATCACCGCGAATAGAATCGCGTTTTTCACCGAGTTTTGCACCACTTCACATATACAGTGTGACTCACATCCAGCACAAGCGATCCTGTGGCAAGGACGTCCAATAGGAAGAAGAATCCCCCAAAGTAATCTGGCTTTCCGAAGGACTGCAGTATTATCTCGATGCCGAATACCACTAGACAAGCAATTGTTATCGCGTTGAAGGTTCTGAAAATGAAGGAAATCAACAACAACTTGTTATGTTAGCAGTGTGGGAGGGGGGAGGGGATATGCACATTGTCAACCACATATGTTGGAATTTCTTAGCAAATTTTTTTAGAAATTTTCATTGATTCACCGTGTTCATCTTTCCTATTTAAAAATCGTTGTAAACTCCCGAGCTCAGTTGAGGAAAGGTGTGAACGTATATATTCCTCCAACTCCCAGTTGGCAACATGAAGCTGTCACTCACGAATCAGCATCTTGCTCGAAACACGCCATACGAATGTCATCACCAAACAAGGCGTATAAGGTCAGAATAGTCGTAGTGGCCGAGAACCTGATATCAATCCCTAGACATTAAAAACGACATCCAACAGCTCACCATGCCTTGTCTACTATAACTGAGCAGAATCTGACCCACTCGTTCTGGAGGCGCATCAATAGGGTGGTGGAAGCTCTGAATCGGCCGGAAATGAACTTCTCCCAAAATACAGTTTTACACTCGTTAGTGCCGTTTAGGAACACCTCGAATGATTTTCAAAAGGATAGGGAACTTACTTAGTTCTGTCGAAATCCATTGTTCGCGTTGATCGTTGTTGTTTGAAATTTTCCACGGGAATTGCCATACAAAAAGATGTGGTTGAACTACAGTTGCTCGGAATAGCTGGGAATAGTAAACAACTCTGGCTCGCCGCGGTCGGGGAGCTGCCCCCCATTACTATTAAAATTGACAACCAAAGTTGCAAAAACCGCTCCAGAGAGCCTCGAAAGGAAGGAGTACTCAAACTATCTCTCAATCTTTCTTAAAGGTAGAATGGTGGAGTGGCATCACCTTCCTGACGGGAGTTACTAGATAAAAATATGCATAAGTTCAATTCTTGTCTCCAACACTTCAAGCGCTCGAGGGTAGTATTAGAAATTGAATTCCAATTTCGCTCGAATCTTGCGCACTTACGATTTCTCAGCGGTATTTTCATATCGGTCTCTCACGAAATCTTTTTGATGATGGCGAAAGGGAAGAAGAAAGAAGGCTCTTCTAAGCATGATGGGAATTCCTCATCAGAAGATCTGCAACACGTTCGAGCGATGCTGCGTACACGGGGACTTCGAATTCATGAGGTCGGTGGGTCCCAGACACGGTTTGAATGATAATCTTCTAATCACTTCAAGTGAGTGTACTCACTTGTATTCACTCCTAGAATAGACCTCTATTATAGTGATAAAACGTATTGGATCCTTCGTGAGCACATATATATATTAGATATCTACAATATTTCAATTTGTGGTGAAACTATGAAATATGTACATAAGTGGTAGTTACACCAACATATATGGTCCTGATCATTTTTCATGAATAGTGTAGAAATCGATATCATATTTAATGCTAGTACGTGTAATATTTCATGTACTACATTTATAACATGTAAAATAATCAGCTCATACGTTAATCTTGTGAGTGCTCATTTGGCCTTCCTGAGGTTTCCTCATGCGCGTCCAGAATTGAACCATGCTTGTGGAAGAGCTCATTCGTTTGAATTGAAATCTTAGCGGAGCGAAGCAATCCTTATTTCCCCTTTTCTCAGGTGCTACCAGATGGCAATTGCCTCTTTAGAAGCTTCGCCGTTGAGTTAAAAGGAGTTGAAACTTATCACGATGAGTTTCGACAAGAATGTTGCGATTGGCTACGAGATCACCAAGATGTGTAAGTACAGTGAGGTTTCACCACCACCCTAGTGATATGAAAAACACACTAGTGAAGAACATATTTCACATTTC